TGAATCATGACAGAGGTGGAAGTAACACTGAGAACCTTTGAACAATTTGAGTACTCAGGATCTTCAAAAAACCCACTACTAATATTTGCCTTGTTCTCACCTTTTTTTTCTTGTCCAGCCTCCTGAGTAGCTGGATCAAGGTCAGCTTTCTCCAATCTGGAGGCCACCAGATATGTTGGAGTATGACTTACAGGATTCCCAGCCAGTAGCATAAAATTCTATGAATTGCAGTCTAACCATCTGGAGGATATCAGAGTTAGGAAGGAACAATGATTAGCTATTCTTTATGCTTCATACAATGTTGTGATTTAGTACTGCTGCAATAGCAACATCTAGCTGCTTACTAGTATTCAAAGCACTGTCACTTGATATAAATGCAAACACCAAAGCCAAGATCTCCTAATACCATCAAATCAATCTGCTGGAAGAACTTCTGCATTAGGCTGATTTAATGATTGAATCTACTATTTTCTGCCTCTCTATGTTTTTATATTATACAACTCTCAGCATAAGGAAGGACCATAATATTCTAAGCTTTAAGATAATGAAAATTACTGTGCAGGATGACTAAGAAGAAAGGAAAAATAAAATGCAAAACAAAGATATATATGGAAAAATAATTAAAAACTAAAATAATATAAATTGTAAATATAACAATATACTAATTGAATATTAAAAATTAATTCAAAACAGTAAACTGAGAAGATGGATTTTGCTATTATATCAGTATGCAAAGGGAATTTAACTGAATTGAAGAATGGTACAGTACATTTGGTATGCTGGGGGAAAAAAGAAAGACTGAGTTAAAAACAGGTTGGATCTAGGTGTGGGATACCGCCTCCCCCAAAAAAATCCTGGGGGGGGGGAACAGTGTGTCCTTCAAAAAAGGATCAAGTGATGATGGTTCCTCAGTTCTAGGGCCACTTCTTCTCAGTCATATGAGCCAAGATAAAACTTGTATTAAGAAGTTGGACTGAATTCTAGAACCCATGCTTTACAATCTTGGACTTTTCTTTTTCTTTTTTCTTTTTTGGTGGGAGGGGGGAATCATATGAAAAAATGATTTGATGTGATTTAAATGATTTATATGACAGACACACCTCTTTTAGAGATGTCCTTGCATCATTGATGATTTCCTCTGGCTTCTGGAGATTGAGTTGTAATCATTACATTCAAAAGTTTCCAGCTAATGTGCTAATTTCTTATATACTTTAAAACATCGAGAGTAAAATACTAAAGCACATGTTTAACTTTAATTAAGGGATAGAACTATGCTTCGATACTCAGGTATCAATTGTCTGCTGCAATTTCCATTGGTGTTTCCTTAAACATTGTTTTTTGGTCAACTATGTTATTGATAGAGGGACAACAGGAGTTTTTACAAATAAGTTTCCTCAGAGCTTCTTTGACATCTTTGTTTCTCAGGCTGTAAATCATGGGGTTGATCATGGGCGTAATCACAGTGTATAGCAAGGAGAAGAGTTTATTGAGCACTGGAGACTGTTTGGCTGAAGGGGCTGCATAAATAGTACCTAGAGTACCATAAAATAATGTCACCACAATGAGATGAGAAGAACAGGTTGAGAAAGCTTTCTGTTTCCCTTGGGCAGAGGGGATTTTAAGAATAGTGGAAATAATATTGACATAAGATGTTAGTGTGAGAAGAAAGGGGCCTATAGTCACCATTGATGCTAAAACAAAGGTTGTTATCTCTGCAACATAAGGGTCAGAACAGGAAAGCTTTATAACAGGAGCTAAATCACAAAAGAAATGGTCAATTTCGTTGGAGGCACAAAATGGCAAACTGAAAGTGAGCACAATGGGGGCTATGGAAGTCAGGAATCCACTTATCCAGGAACCAGCTGCCATCTGAAGACAGATTTTGATATTCATGATAGCTGTATAACGAAGTGGATTGCAGATGGCTAAGTATCGGTCATAAGACATCACTGCTAAAAGGTAACATTCAATGACTGCCATAGAACCAAAGAAATAAAACTGAGCAATGCATGCAGAGAAGGAGATAGCTTCATGACTTGTTAGGATTGTCCTCAGCATCTTTGGTATAATAGAAGTTGTGTACCAGATCTCGAGGAAGGAGAAATTTACTAGGAAAAAATACATCGGAGTGTGGAGGCCTCGATTGGTTGATACAGCAACCAAAATGAGGATGTTACCGCTTAAAGTTATCATGTATATAGCCAAGAATATCACAAAAAGAATGCTCTGTAGACCATGAAGATTCCCAAATCCTAGGAGGATAAATTCTGTGATGACAGTTTCATTCCTCTGTAGTTCAGTGAACATCTAATGTAAACATATTAAAAAAAAAAAATCATTAAAGAGTTAAATCAGGTGAGGTTGGAACAAAATGTCAAGTGAAGCAATTTAACAAGTAATTAAATAAGTAAGTAAGTAAACAAATAATTACATACATAAATACATAAATAAATTCAGTAGTTAAAGTCTATTCAAGGATGTCATTCACAAACCCCAACTAGCCAGCAAGTGGTCCAGTTTGGATGACCCAGACCCTCCTGGGAAGGGAGGCCCAAAAGACCCATTTGCAGGGCCACAGTAGGAGCATTCTAGGCATCTGATAGATAAGGTTGCTCAGATCTATTCTGAGATGGACTCTAGTTGTGCAGATCATATGGAACTGATGAGGCACAGTCTGCCTGTATCATCGGGAAAGAGTTTGAGTTTCTTGGTCTTGTGGAAGTAAACAAAATCCTTGAAGTGAATTTGACCATCTGTGGATTAGATCTATGTCCCTCCTGGCTGGTCAAGGTTACTCAGGGGGTCATATGTGGTTCAGTCCACATTGTGATTAATTCATCCTTGAATGAGGGGATGGTGCCACCTGTTCTTGAAGAGGCAGTGGTCCATCCGCTCCTCAAGGAACCATCGCTTGACCTAACAATACAGTTTCTTCCAATTTCCAATCTCTCTTTTTTAGGGAAGATTGTAGAGAAGATGATTGGGCTGCAACTCCATATTATCTGGAGACTTTTTCAATCAGATTTCAGACATGGGCAATGTACCGAGACAACATTGATTGCACTTGTAGAAGACCTCTGGAGGTGTTAGGCTGGTGGTTGTGCATTTGTCCTGGCCCTCCTTGATCTCGCAGTGGCTTTCAGTGCCATCAGTCATGGTCTCCTTTTGGATCAGCTCTGGGAGATACCAATGGGGGACTCATAGTGGTGGTGCTCTTCCTTCCTCTGAGGTTTGTTTCAGTGTGTTGATGAGAGGAGAGATCAAGACCTAGGCCCCTGCTCTGTGTGGTTCCTCAGAGCTCTACCCTCTCCCCACTACCATTTCAATCTACCTGAAACTGCTGGATGAGGTCCTCCACTGGCATGGGGTCAGGTATCATTAGTACACTGAGAATACTCAAATTATATTTATCTGTCTCTGATCAACCAAGTGCTCCTATCTCAGTGTCTAAAGCCTGTGAGAATCTGGATGGGGAAGAACAAATTTTAGCTGAAGCATAGTAAGGCTGAATGGTTGTGTATTTTAGGTCCTCCAGCGATGGGGATTTTCCATCTTTAGTTTTTGATGGGTTGGCACTCCACCAGGGTTGAGTGCTGCTACATAATTTGGGGTCCTATTGCACTTACAGCTCCTGCTAGAAGAGGCATTGGCAGATAAGGCCAGGAAAGCCTTTGCACAACTTCATCTTGTGAGCCAATTTCTCCCATTTGTGCATTGGGAAGCCCTGGTCATGGTCACTGTATAAGTCTGCTCTTTAAGAAGACTTGGAAGCTGCAACTGGTCCAAAATGTGGTGTCATGGATACTTATGGGCATGTCTCAATACATCCATGTTACACCATTACTTTATGAATGCACTGGCTTCTAGTAACTTCTGGATGCAATTCAGAACACTACTTATTATTTATGTGCTTCATAATATAGCCCTGGGTTATTTGCAGGATCACTTATCTCCCATTAGTTCTGCTTCCCCTGCTAGATCTGTCAGTATTGGCATGCCATCTGATGGGACCCAGGAAGTATGTCTTCTCTGCCATAGTACCCATCCTGTGGAACAACTTGTCCCTCAAGATTTGGATGGCTCCATATTATTGGCCATTTTTAATGTCTTAAGACCACCTGTTTCCTTGGGTGTTGGGCCAGAGTGTTGACTGAACCTATCTCTAGGAAGCATGGTAGTATATTGGTTAGTGTCTTTGGTTGCCAATTTCTTTTGCTGGTTATTTTGTGTGTGTGTGTGTGTGTGTGTGTGTGTGTGTGCCAACATTTAATTTGTTCGTATACTGCCCAGAGTTGCTGTGAATTGGGCAGCCATGAAAGGTGAATGAATGAATGAATGAATGAATGAATGAATGAATAGCAAACTCTGGAAAATATATAG